TATATAATATATTTGTGATTATATAATACTGTATATAGTATGAATATATATGGATATGTTTGATTATTATATGATTAATATTATATTAAGGGTGCGTGTATATGTATATTGTACATATATGTAATATATATAATCTTTCTTCTAAAAATTGGATCACATATTCATGTGTCTAGAATGCAGAGCCAAAGATCTGGAAGGTCACTCCAAAATACCAGTGGTTGCCTTTAGAGACGGGGCTGAGCTTGGGTTAGGGCTGAAGTTGTTTGAGAGGGAACTGGCTTTTTTATTCACTACATAGTTTGAACTTTTTAATGCACATGTGCCTACTGTAATAACATCATTTAAAGCAGAATACATTTGGTGGTTTTGGGACTTGACTTCCCTGCAGGATGGCACTTCCTTCATTACCCTCATTAGGGAGCAGGGCTCCTTCTTACTCTACAGCATTACAAACATGATCTCTGATGTTCCCCTCTGCACCATCCACTTTGCTCTCCCACTCTGTGTTAGGTTGTTCTTGTATTGCTGTACAAAATACTTAAGACTGGGTAATTTATAAAGAAAAGAAGTTTAATTGACTCACAGTTCTGCAGGCTGTACAACATCTGCTCAGGTTCTGGGAAGGCCTCAGGAAGCTTTTACTTATAGAAGAAATTCCAGTGCAAGCAGGCACATCATCTGGTGAAAGCAGGAATGAAAGAGAGAAAGGAGAGGTGCCACAGAGCTTTTTTTTTTTTTTTTTTTTTTAAATAAAGGCAGAGTCTCATTCTGTGCCCAGGCTGGAGTGCAGTGACTCAATCTTGGCTCACTGCCAATCTCCACTGTCCAGGTTCAAATGATTATTGTGCCTCAGCCTCCCAAGTAGCTGGGCCTACAGGCACATGCCACCATGTCTGGCTAATTTTTTTTGGTATTATATTTAGTAGAGACAGGGTTTCACCATGTTGGCCAGGCTGTTCTCAAACTCCTGACCTCAGGTGATCCACCAGCCTCAGCCTCCCAAAGTGTTGGGATTACAGGCATGAGCCACTGTACTTGGCCTGCCACACACTTTTAAATGACCAGATCGCATGAGAATTTACTCACTGTAACAAGGACAGCACCAAGGGGATGATACTACACAATTCATGAGAAATCCACCCCCATGACCCAATCACTTCCCACTAGGCTCCCCCTCCAACACTGGGGATTAAATTTCAACATGATATTTGGATGGGGAATATGTACAAACTGATTCCTGAATCTGCTGGACAGTCTTCTTATGACCTTATGTCATGGATCATTCTTGCTTTCATTTCCCTTACCACCCACTTGGGCCTCCTCAACAAGTTTGACTCCAAGGTCACCTATTTCAGTGACTCTATCACCAGCTTTCTGGATTCTGTTACCCCATTGTCCCCTGGCCGCCCCTACATTGCCAGTTCAGAACCTTCTTCTCTCCCTGCTGTGTTTCAAGACTGCTGGAGGAGAGCCATAAACGTCAATGACTGGGTCCCCTGAAAACTCCTAACAACCAGCCTGGCTTGCCCCTCACTGCTCCAAGCAATCATCTTATTCCTTTCTGTTGATTTCTTATTACACTGCCCTCCCATGTACACCTTTTCCCTTCTCCTGGTTTATATTGAGAACACTGAGACTTCCACCCATGAACTGCTCCAAATGCTCCCCTCCTTCCCTCAAACTCTTAACAGTTTTATGTATCACATTCTCCTTGTGGTCCATCTCAGAAGAGCTCTGTCTCTGAGACAGGCTGTTTGTATGTATCCTCAAGTCCATCCTAGTTTTCTTTTGGTGCTGTCCTCATTATAGTGAGTGAATTCTTGTGAAATCTGGTCATTTAAAAGTGTGGTACAAGAACCTCCCTTCAGAAAAACAAACAAATAACAACAACAACAACAACAACAACAAAAATCCGGTGTTTTTCTTCTCCTTTGCATCATTGGTCTATTTCTCTTTTGTTCATATTAGTGTGGCACACATCTCTATTCTGGACTTCGTTCATTTAATAGTTCCCTTCACAAAATGGTTGAAAAAACAGGCATGCATACAGAATGTTGTGGAGGCTGCCTACATTCCCCCTGCATCAGGACTGACTCACTTATCCCCTAGTTGCTGGAAGCTTTCAAGGTTGACAGCTCTCAGCATAGTCCCTCTCTAGAGCTTGTCTAGAATTGAAGAAAACAATCTCCTGGGCATGGCCCCTTCTGAAGCAGCACGACTCCAATGACTGGTTGTTATAGGGGTGAAAAGGTCGGGCTCCCTTACCTCAATTCAGGAACTCTGAAGGTAGTACCCACTCTAGAGCTCTCCGTAGGAAGCAGCTGAGGCGTCTGTTGGATCTGTATTCCTGCCCAGCAACTCCTCCTGCTCGATCTTGCTTCTCTCACTCCACTCACTGGTGTAGATCCCAAGAGCACATCCCCATAAATTGCCTGCCTGCCACTCTTCTTCTCAGAGTCTACTTCTAGGAAACTGAGCGATTACAGCAGGCTTTTCAAATCTGGAAAGAAATCTTGAACATGGATGGGAAGAATCAATTCAAACGAAAATTGATTTCATCTTCTTGGAACATAGAGCCCAGTCTAAGAAGATAAACCTCCTTGGATGGATGTAAACTTTTGAATGATGTAGCTTAAAGAAAAATCCAGTTGTACAAATATAAGATGTAGACTGGGAGTGGTGGCTCATGCCTCTAATCCAAGCACTTTGGGAAGCTGACGAGGTGGGTCACTTGAGTTCAGGAGTTTGAGGCCAGACTGGGCAACATAGAGACATCCTATCTCTATAAAGAATGTAAAAAGTGTGGTGATGTGCACCTGTGATTCTAGCTACTCTGGAGACTGAGGCAGGAGGATTGCTTGAGCCTGGGAGGCTGAGGCTGCAATGAAGTGTGATGATCATGCCACTGTACTCCAATCTGGGCAACAGAGTAAGAACCTGTCTCAAAACAAAAACAAAACAAAAAACCAAATATAAGTTGTGAGAGATTTTGGCTCACATTTATGTGAAAAAAAAAAAAAACTAAGGGATCGCTTCATTCTTTCATCTATGTATTTATTTATTTACATAGAAGTACATATTCTGTGTTAGGCACTTTCTGCACAGAAGGGGTGGGGGAGCTGAAATATGAGGAGGTAGAAAATAAACAAAAACCCAGATTTATGATTATACTCCATGTAAATAAACAGAGGGCAACAAAAGGGAATAAAAGGAATGTCTCTCAGGTGAGGTGACATTGAAAGCCTGGTGAGAGATCCATGCCAGCTTCAATGGGACAGATGCCCAGGCCGTCAAAGGTAAGGAACTGGGCTCTGCAGGGTTCTCGCTCCCATGCCATGCTAACTGGAGGCTCCAGTCATTGAAGGAAGGGCTGCAGGTGGAGTAACCTATGGTCTTGATGCTCAAAGCTTGGTCTGCAGACTAGTGGAACAGGTACGACAGGCAAGCTCCCATTAGGAATGCTGATCTTCTGGCCCCTTCCCACCCCTCAGGATCAGAATCTGCACCTTACTGGTTTCCAGGTATAGTAATTTCCCATGGCTGCTGTAATGAATTACCACAAACTTAGTGCTTAAAACAATACAAATTTATTTTCTTACAGTTACAGATGTTAGGAATTTCAAAGGAATCTTTCTGATTATCTTTGAGGACAGGTGGATCTAGTTTTGCTTACTGGCATTTCTGGATATGCCCTCTGATTGAAACTGAGATTTTGTTTCTGTCACGACTGCTTGGATCTCCTTCCTCCCTGTAGCCCTACATGTTCCAGATGCTTGAAGAACACACCCAAGACAAGTAGAACAGTGATTGCACGTGTCAACCCATGCACACGAGCTTTGCATAAGTAAAAAAAAAACCTTTTCAAATCGCCACCATTATTTAGTGAGGTATCAACTTTTTTGTTATCTTTATTTAATTATTATTATTATTTACAAAGGGGGAAATATGCCAAAGAACATGCAACTCAAAACCGGTAGAGCCAGGATTTAATTCAAGTCTTCTGACCACAAATCGAATGCCCAAACTGACCACTGAGAGGTAGGAACACATCCAAGTATTGGTAGGATTTCTGTTACCCTCTTGGGTAGTAGCTTGTCTGGCTGATTTCTGCACCCAGAGAAAACAAGCCCAAGGATGGGGAAGTGCTATGGGGGAAGGGTATATTATTCTGTGTAATCTATGTAACTCTTTAGTCTGCTCTCTGTTAGACTGGATGAGCAGTCTGTGTCATTTTCAAGAAGAGAAGAGGCTTCCTCTGCTCTTACCCAAGGCTTCCAGCAAGAGTGGGGGCACTGTGAATAGATTTCTGGTTGAATGGAGGTTACTTTATCAGGCAAGGGAGAGTGCAGAGGTCATACTTGCAGAGTGGCCACATTCATACAAGATGGTGCAACTCCTGCATGACATCTTTCCCAGAAGAAGGTCCTGGTATTATAAAGTTGCTTCCCCAGGATGCTGTAATCAGCTACAGGCAGTGCTCTATGAAGGCCATCAAGAAACTGGGGAGTTGAGGGACCTTCAGTTACTGGAATATGCCTCTTACAGAAAATGCTTCTTGATTTTGCTTCTTGTTCTTCCGAGTTGCAGTGGAGATTGTGTTTGGGACTGAGATCTGGTATCTTTCGTGATGCTCAGTATGAGGGACCATCTCTCAAGTCAGGTCAAGAGTATAATAGCCTGGGAGACCTTTCTTCCCAGAGCACCCCTGATACAACATGATTACATTAGAATTTCTCCTCCTCGTTTTCTTTCCCCTTCCTCATCTCCTTTTTCATATTTTTTAAACAATACATTTTATTGCATATATTTGATGTTTACAGCATGGTGTTATGAGATATATACAGATAGTAAAATGGTTTCTATAGTGAGGCAGCTTAACATACCTATAATTTCATATAGTTAGTTTTTGGGTATGTGTGACAAGAGCAGCAGTCCTAATACAAAACAATATTACTTTTATTTACTTTTATTTTATTTATCTATTTATTTATTTTTGAGCATGGTCTTTCCCTATATTGCAACTCAGAATCAAAACCTTTGATTCTTCTTTATATTCCAGTCCCAGAAGTGGTTTCCACTGTAGAAGTTAATTGATGATTCTTATTCTTTCTAGTAATAGCTTACAACCAGGCTCTAGCTTCTCCAGGAACACTGTAGGATGAATCTAGTTTAAATATGTATTAAACTAAAAGGCATTCTCTCAAATGAGTTTAAATGCATTTTATTTTCAGACAACCTACATGGCATGTTTTTCTTAAAAACAATGCTTCCACTTCAGACAAATCACGGACAAAATAAATGAAGAGCTCAAGATGACATCAGTCCCATTTGTCTTAAGTCCTGGTGTGTGGATGACAAGCAGAAGCCAGTTATGATGACAGGTGATTGATCCAAAGTAATTGTGAAATTTGTTAACATTTTCCCATTTCTAAACCATCCTTAAAGAAAATTATATAGGTTGTTCAACATCCTCACGGTAGTCCAATAGAGCAACCATGCCATCTGGATTCATCTTTTCACCAACACAGAACTAATAGATTTTGAAATGAACAAGAATGTGCTTGATTTATTCTGCAGCCCCTGTCATAAAAGGTTGTACTCTTTCTGGTCTCTGTTCTTCAAGTTTGCATTTGATTCATTTCACATAATGTTTGATGTACTTCTTGCAGGCTTCTTTTGTGAAACTTGTTTCCTGCAGGTAGGTGATTGTTCACGACAATATGGACACCAGTGATTACCGTGCTTTTGGTACCTTCACCCTGGGGGCCTTCAGCAGAGGCATGTCCATCGATGAGTGAGTCATCAATGTTACCTTCTGTCCTATTGACCGTCTTCCCCTCCAACTCCAGGCACAGACTTCTGCCATCTCCTGGATCTTGTAGATGTCGGAGAGCATCTCATCGTGGCTGATGAGGTCCCAGTAGATAATCATGATGGCGGCTGAAGGGAGATGATGGCAGCGCTAGCTTAGCAGGAGCCTGAAGCTCTGAGAGAGCTCGGTGCAGCCTGAGCAGCGCTAGCAGGCAGGAGGGAGTGGGTGGAAAGGCACTTTTATTTTATTAGTATAGTCATGTTGCACATTAACTCTTTAGAGTTGTTCATTCTACATATCTGCTACTTTGACATCTCCCCATACCCCTCACCTTAGTAACCACTGTTGATTCTTTAGCTCTGTATATTTCTTTCTTTCTTTTTTTTTTTTCAGTTTCCACTTATTAGTAAGATCACGCAATTTTTTTTCTTTCTGTGTCTGGTTTATTTCACTTACCAAAAAGTCCTCCTGATCCAACTATGTTATGGCAAATAGCAGCATAATCCCTCAGACTGAATAATATTCATATATATATATTTACATTTTCTGTATCCATTCGTCCATTGGTGGACACTTAGTTTGCTTATCTTAGCTGCTGTGAATAAGGCTGCAATGAACATGTGGGTGCCAATATTTTTATGAGATGGCGATTTCTTTTCCTTTTTTCTTTCTTTTTTTTTCAGACAGGGTCTTGCTCTGTTGTCCAGGCTGGAAGGCAGTGCTGTGATCATAGCTCACTGCAGCCTCAGACTCCTGGATTCAAGTTGATCCTGCTGTCTCAGCCTCCAAAATAGTTGGGATTGCAGGCAGGCACCACCACACCTGGATAATTTTTTATTTTTTGTAGAGAAAGGGTCTTGTTATGTTGCCCAGGCTGGTTTTGAACTTCTGGGCTCAAGTGACCCTCCTGCCTCAGCCTCCCAAAGTGCTAGGATTGAAGGCATGAGCTAACACACTCAGCAGTGGAGGTGGTCATTTCGTTTTCTTTGGATATATACCCAGAAGAAGGGTTGCTGAGTTATATGGAAGTTTTGTTTTTATTTTCTTTGGAAATCTCCACATTGCTTTCCATAATGGCTTTACCAAACTGCATTGCCGACAGTATACTAGGCTTCTCTTTTCATGACACTCTTACCAACATTTATTATCTCTTATCTTTTTGGTAGTAGCCATCCGAACAGATGTGAGCTAATATCTCTTAGTGGTTTTAATATGCATTTCCCTTATGATTGGTGATGTTGAGTACCTCTTAATATATATTTTAGCCATTTTTACATCTTCTTTAGAGAAATGTCTGTTCATATCCTTTGCCTATTTTTTAAGCAAGTTATTTTTTCTTTTTTTGCTGTTTAGTTATAAGAGTTCTTTATAAATTTTGGATATTAACCCCTTATGAGACATACAGTTTGCAAATATTTTTTCCCAGTCCATATGTTGCCTTTTCATTATGTTGATTGTTTCCTTTACTGTAATGAAGATTTTCAGTTTGACGTAGTACCATGTATTTATTGTTTTTGTAGCCTGAGATTTTGGTGTGATATTAAAAAATTCATTGCCAAGACCATGTCAAGGAGCTTTCCCCTGTGTTCTCTTCTAATATTTTATGGTTTCAAATCTTACACTTTGGCCTTTTATTCATTTTCAGTTGATTTTTACATATGGTGTGAAGGGTCCAATTCAATTTTTTTTGCATGTTAAAATTGGTTTTCCCAGCACCATTGGTTAAAAAGACTATCCTTCCCCCTTGTGTCCTCTTGGTGCCTTTGTTAAAAATTAGTTGAAAGAGTTTCAGAGGTATCAACATGAATTCTTCCTTGACTGTGTGGTAGAATTCAACTGCAAAGCCATTGGAAGGTTTTTAAATTGCTTCTTCAATCAATTTATTTATTTTTGGCCTGTTCAACCTCTCTATTTCTTCCTAATTCAATCTTGGTAGTTTATTTATTTCTAGGAATTTATTGATTTCTTTAAGGTTAACCAATTTGTTGGCATAACTGTTCATAATAGGCTCTATGATCTTTTTAATTCCTGGGGCATTTGTTGTAATATCTTCCCTTTTCTTTTTTTTTTTTAAGTCTTTTTTTTTCCTAGTCTAGCTTAGGGTTTGTCAGTTTTATCTATTTTTTTGAAGAACAAACTCTTAGTTTTATGGAACTTTTTCCTATAGTTTTTCTGTTCTTTATTTGACTTATTTCTATTCTGAATTTTATTATTATTTTTCCTTCTGCTAACTTTGAATTTAGTTTATTTTTCTTTTTCTAGATAATTGAGGTATAATGTTAGGCCATTTATTTGGAATCCTTCTTCTTTTTTAATGTAAACATTTATTGCTAAACTTCCCTCTTAGAACTTCATTTGCTACATTCCATAAGTTTTGGTATGTTGTGTTTCCATTGTCAGTTGCCTCAAGACATTTTTGAATTTCCCTTTTGATTTTTTTCTATGAACCATTGGTTGTTCAGGAGCATGCTGTTTAGTTTCTGTTTAGCTTCCACATATTTGTGAATGTTCAAGGTTCTTCCTGTTATTGTTTCTAGTTTCATACCATTTTGATCAGAAGCAGTACTAGATATAATATTAATCATCTGAAATTTGTTAAGATTGATTTTGTGGCCTAGCATGTGGTCTATCCTGGAGAACATTCCATGTGCACTAGAGAAGAATGTATATTCCGCTGCTGTTAGGATGGAAAGTTTTATATACATCTATTGGGTCCATTTTGGACTCATGAACTCATGCACATGAACATGAGTTCCATGTGCAGTTCAAGTTCAGTATTTTCTTGTTAATTTTCTGTCTGGTTGATTATCCGTTACTGAAAGTGAGGTATTGAAGTTTTCTACTTTTATTGTATTGTTATCTATTTCTTCCTTCATGCCCATTAATATTTGCTTTATATATTTCGGTGCTCCAATGATAGGTGCATATATATTTATAATTGTTATGCCCTCTTGATGAATTGACTCCTTTCTCATTTAATAATGATCTTTGTTTTTTGTAACAGGTTTTGACTTACAGTCTACTTCATTGGACATTAGCATAGCAACCTCTTTCTCTTTTGGTTGCTATTTGCATGAAATATCTTCTTTCATTCCTTTACTTTCAGCTTATGTATGTCTCTACAGCTAAAATAGGTCTCTTGCAGGCAGCATATAGTTCGATCTTATTATTATTATTTTTAACCCACTCAGTATCAGCCACTCAGTGTCTTATTTTTTCTTGAGATGGGGTCTCACTAAGTTGTCTAGGCTGGCCTCAAACTTTTGTGCTTAAGGAATCTTCTCATCTCAGTCTTCTGAGTAGTTGGAATTATGGGTTTGTGTCACCACATCCAGTTTGTCTCTTTTGACTGCAATGTTTGATCCATTTACATTCAAAGTTATTATTGATAAATAAGGACTTAGTCATTTTTTAAATTGTTTTCCAGTTGTTTTGTAGATCCTTTGGTTTCTTTCTTCCTCTCTTGTTTTCTATCTTAGTGATTTGGTAATTTTCTGTAGTGTTAAGCTTTGTTTTCTTTCTCATTCTCATTTTTGTATGAGTTTTGTGGTTACTGTAAAGCTTACCTAAAACATCTTATAGTTATAATAGACTATGTTAAACAGATAGGAGAAGATCCAAGATGGCCAAATAAGAACAACTCTAGAGTGCAGTTCCCAGCAAGAACACAGAGGGTGAGTGATCACAGCATTTCCAAACTAGTTTTTACTGGCCACAGACCAGGAGATTCCTGGGCAGAAAAGTGCCACGAGCTTTCAGTACAGCTATTTTAGCCAGCGCAGCAGATCTCCGCACAAAAACTAACACAAATCTGGGCAACCATTTCAACTGATACCTGGAATGCCTGTGAGACAGAGTCACCCATTCAACTGAAAAAGGGGGCAGAAACAGGGAGCCAGGTGATCTGGCTCAGCAGGTCCCACCCCCACAAAGATCAGCAATCTGAAATGTTCTGGATTGAGAGTTTCACAGCAAGCACAACTGGACTCAGGACAGTCCAGCTCTCTGGGGGAAAGGGCATCCGCCATTACTGAGGCAGTCCACCACTACTGAGGCACCGTTACAGAGGCAGTCCACCATTACTGAGGCAGTCCACCATTACTGATGTGGGCTGCTATTACTGAGGCAGTTCTAACTATACCTCTATAAACAAAACCACAAGGAAATTCACACAGCAGCTGGGCAGAGCCCATGGCAGCTCAACAATGCCTCTGCTGGCAAACTGTGATTAGGCTACCTCCTCGCTGGCAGGGCATCTCTGATAAAAGGTAGCAGCATGTCAGGAAATTATAAATAAAGTTCCACCTTCCTTGGACAGAGCATCTGGGAAAAAAAGGCAGTTATGAGTTCCGCTGCAGCAGACATAAACGTACATGCCCAGCAGCTCTGAATGGAACAATGGAGCTCACAGCTAAGCACCTGAACTCCTATAAGGGACAGACTGTCTCCTCAAGCAGCTCCCTGACCCCCATATATCCAAAGAGACACCTCATAAAGGAGAGCTCAGGCTGACATCTGGAGGGTATCCTTTTGGGAATAGGATAAGAGAAGAAGAAACTGCAGCAACCCTTACTGTTCTTCAGCCACTGCAGGTGATCCCCAGGCAAGCAGGGTCTAGAGTGGACTTCCAGTAGTCCTATGACAGAGGGGCCTGACTGTTAAGAAGGAAAACTAAAAAACAGAAAGAAATAACTTCATCATCAATAAAAAAGATGTCTATTCAGAGACCCCATCCAAAAGCCACCAACTACAAAGACCACAGGTAGATAAATTCACAAAGATGGGAAGAACCCAGTGCAAAAAGGATGAAAACACCCAAAACCAGAATGCCTCTTTTGCTTCAGTGGATCACAACTCCTCACCAGCAAGGGAACAAAACTGGATGGAGAATGAGTCTGATGAATTGACAGAAACAGGCTTCAGAAAGTGAAGCCTGTTAGTAACAAACTTCTCTGAGCTAAAAGAACATGTTCTAACCCAATGCAAAGAAAGAACCTTGAAAAAATTTGGAGAAATGCTAACAAGAATAAACAGCTTAGAGAAGGATACAAATGAATTGATGGAGTTGAAAAACACAACATGAGAACTTCGTGAAGCGTATACAGTTTCAATAACCAAAT